AATGGCTTATTTAGAGCAACACATTTTTAAAAAGTATTTTTTCCCCATCCATGCAAGGCGGAGAGAGCAATAATTTGGTTTCCGCGACTGAAGATTGTAAACAGTAATGGCGGATCCAAACGAAGACCGACTGCTGCTGCTTCCAGAAGAAGGTAGTGACATTCGAACAGCTTTACTCGTTAAAGTATAGTAATTTTGAAACATAACTTTGTGTTGCAAAGTAGAGAATTGTGTTCAGATTAAATGCAGCACTTACAAAATACGATTCGCTTTAGATCTTTTTAACACTATAATAATTATAACATTATTATTATTAACAACAATGGTTTGGTTGGTACATTACTACATTAGTGTCATTAGTACATTTATTTTTTATATTTTTATTTTTATGTTTTATTATTATTTAATTATTATTTTTTCATTATTGAAATTCAGTTAAAGAAACTTTTTTTTTAAACTTATTTAATTTACATTTAACTTCACTGAAGCTGTTGAGTAGATAGAAATGATTGATATCCAGTCAATAATCAATAATGATTAATGTCTATCTTTTTGGCAACTTGTTCATCATTATCAGGTGTCTTGCCGAATGGGGCAGACGATCATGCTCTCCACAACCCTCGATCTGCATCTGTGTTGATATCCCTCTATGCCATGACAAAAGACCGCCAAGAATCTTCTCATGCTGTCTTCCTCTGTCTTTCTTTCCACAGGTCTTTCCAGTGGTCACAACACGTTCCATTTTCCCCCTTCTCATAACATGACCAGAAAATGATGACTGTCAACTGCCTCTTTCTGATGTTTGTGACAAGCTGTCTTATCAACTTGGCAACATATTAAAAATCTTGGCTCTCCTTTAAATAACGGTCGCTAGCTGGAAGGCGACAGCCGCTTAGTCGGAGTTCACTCCCCTGGCTGCAGTGCAATTACAGAGTTGAAAACAGGGAGCGAAACAAATGATATAGTTACCTGTCATCCTAGAAATAGGCTTAAGGTTTGGGTTAGGATTTGGGGTAGGGTTTTGGGGTAGGGTTAGGGTTTGGGGTAGGTTTAGGGTTAGGGGTAGGGTAACACATAACGGAAACGACGGAAGCTTATCGCTCATTACAACATACAGATCCGCAGGTCCCACATCTATGGTCACTAAGTCTTGCGTCGGAAGAACGAGGTCGCTAATTTGAGTCGCAGCGCATGGTCTACGAGAGTCTTGCCTCGCAAGACTGCGGTCTCTACTGTCAGTCGCAGCGCGTGGTCTAGCTCTAGCAGGCATGTCGACCTCACTTTGTTTTTTGATTCGTGACTTGTCCGCTCCATAATTGCACTGCAGCCAGAGGAGTGAACTCCGACTAAGCGGCCGTCACCTTCCAGCTAGCGACCGTTATTTAAAGGAGAGCCAAGATCTTTAATTTTAATTCGATTTAATGTTATTCTGTTTTATTAGTATACACTTTCCGTTATTTCTTTTCACTTGTTGTCTTTTCTTTCCCTTTCACGTTAGCCCTTTTTTTTGGTCGTTTGTCTTTTTCAAATTCTAGTTTTACTGATTGTTTTCCTTTAATATTCACTCAATATTGTAATAAAATGTATCTAATTTAAAAAAAAAAAAAAAAGAAGAAGAAGAAGATACGAAGCAAACGAAACCCAGCAATGCCACATTCAAGTTTTTGGCTCTCCTTAAAATTACGGTCGCTAGCTAGAAGGCGACGACCACTTAGTCGTTCACTCCCCTGGCTGCAGTGCAATTACGGAGCGGACAAGTCACGAATCAAAAAACAAAGTGAGGTCGACATGCCTGCTAGAGCTAGACCACGTGCTGCGACTGACAGTAGCGACCGCGGTCTTGCGACGCAAGACTCTCGTAGACCATTCGCTGCGACTCAAATTAGCGACCTCGTTCTTCCGACGCAAGACTTAGTGACCGTAGATGTGGGACCTGCGGATCTGTATGTTGTAATGAGCGATAAGCTTCCGTCTTTTCCGTGATGTGGAACCCTAACCCTACCCAAAACCTTATCCCTAACCCTACCCCTAACCCTACCCCTAACCCTAACCCTACCCCTAACCCTACCCCTAACCTTACCCCTAACCCTACCCCTAACCCTACCCCAAATCCTAACCCAAACCCTAAGCCTAACCCTAGGATGACAGGTAACTATCATTTGTGTCGTTCCCTCTTTACCACTCCGTATTTGCACTGCAGCCAAGGGAGTGAACTCCGACTAAGCGGCCGTCGCCTTCCAGCTAGCGACCGTTATTTAAAGGAGAGCCAAGTTTTTACATTATTTATTGTAAGCTGAGATGGTAGCGGCAGTAGTGAAATGGTCAGATGTTTGCCTGCCGGACTGAAGGTCTTTGTTTCTAATAAGCATTGCAGTATATTATTTACTTCAGCTCCCAGGCTGTCCCAGTCCTAAAAAGGGTGCTAGGTAATGTCTGGGAAGTAAAGGTGGTCAGCGGGATGTTAACCGTGTCACCCAGACAGAGCATCTTAATCTTTAAAAATATGAGTATGGTATCATATGCTTGATGCATTTCTTGTATAAAATAGATCCTTTACTTTTCTTATAAGAAGAGAGACAACATATTTTTATTAATTCTTTCAAGAAGGCATTTTTTATGGGGTGTGAACTAATTTTTCTTAGACTGTTTCTATTCATGGGGCGCTTATCCCTTCACAAAATGTTTGGTGTCGGTGGGCGTGGTGGGGGTGGGAGGGGGAACAGCACCCTCTTTAATAATGTGAAGTTGGATGCTCAGTAGAGTTGGTAAAGAAATTATACTAGAAATAAAGCCCTGCTCATATATCATCCTACAAATAAACATGACAGTATGCTACAGTGAAGCCATTGAGACACTAATGTTCATGTCTAACCATGATAAACTACCAACCTATCTACTTGCTGACTAACTTACCAACTGTGTCTACTTTCTAAGTAACATCAGCAGTTCCTGCTTGCTTTCTAACTTAGCTGCCACACATGTCGTCATTTATTTATTTATACATGCATATGTCTGCCTCCTCCACAATGCCAAAGCTGCCCAGCATCTTCTTTCTAGCTCTTCTAGCTGACTGAATATGGTACTTATAATCTGTTGCTTGCAGACATACCTGTGTTTAGATATCTTAAATCTTTGCATCCCAGACGGTCATAGTTGATGTCCCAGTGAGTCAGTTATGAAATCAACAAAATAACAGATATACTACATTACATATACATGCCTAAAAAGAATATTTAGCACTAAGTTGCAAGACAAGATCATTAACTCTTAAGCTATAGTCTGTTTTATTCAGCTGTTGCATTAACTCTTAAGCTATGGTCTGTTTTATTCAGCTGTTGCATTAAATCTTAAGCTATGGTTTGTTTTATTCAGCTGTTGAATAACTCTTAAGCTATGGTCTGTTTTATTCAGCTGTTGAATAACTCTTAAGCTATAGTCTGTTTTATTCAGCTGTTGCATTAACTCTTAAGCTATGGTCTGTTTTATTCAGCTGTTGAATAACTCTTAAGCTATGGTCTGTTTTGTTCAGCTGTTGCATTAACTCTTAAGCTATGGTTTGTTTCATTCAACAGTTTCTGAACTCTTTTACTTAAGTAACTGACTTTTTTTTTAGTCAACAGTTGCATTAACTCTTCAGCTGTGGTCTACATCTGACACTAATTTCATTAACTTGTACTTAACAGTTTAATCATGAAGAAGATATTACAGAATTACTCTTCGCGAACGACCAAGTACTCATAGCAGAAAATACAGATACCTCGGAGTACTAAAGTGAATCTTATCAGAACTATTTTTTGGCCAACACTATGCTTTCAATGCCAAACGTGGACACTTACATCCTCCAATGAACGTAAAATTGTGACAACAGAGATGAAATGCCTAAGAAGAGCTGCAGGAGTTTCAAGGAAAGACAGAATACGAAATAATGAAATCAGACGAATGCTAGGAATAAAGCCAGTCTTACAGGTCATCAAAAAACAACAAATGAAGTGGTTTGGACACCTAACAAGAATGCCGTGGTACTATCCACCACAGCGAGCCACACTAAAACTTTACAACGGGTATAGAGCGAGTGGAAGACCTCGGAAAATATGGAGTGATGGCATTAAGAACAGCCTTACAGAAATGAACATCAGTCTTAATAGTGCTCTTGGCAGAGCTCATCAACGAACATTACATCTCCCCTGACACTTCAATGAGGTAAAAGGTGGAAGAGAAGAAGAAGTACTTAACAGTGTTGTACTTAACATTATGGTACTTAATGATGTGGTACCTAACGATGTGGTACTTAACAGTGTGGTACTTAACAGTGTGGTACTTAACAATGTGGTACTTAACAATGTGGTACTTAACAATGTGGTACTTAACAGTGTGGTACTTAACAGTGTGGTACTTAACAGGTGGTACCTAACAGTGTGGTACTTTACAGTGTGGTACTTAACAGTGTGGTACTTAACAGTGTGGTACTTAACAGTGTGGTACTTAACAGTGTGGTACCTAACAGTGTGGTACTTAACAGTGTGGTACTTAACAGTGTGGTACTCAACAATGTGGTACTTAACAGTGTGGTACTTAACAGTGTGGTACTTAACAGAGTGGTACTTAACAGTGTGGTACTTAACAGTGTGGTACTTAACAGTGTGGTACTTAACAATGTGGTACTTAACGATGTGGTGCTCAATGATGTGGTACTTAACAATGTGGTCAGTTTCAGTGAACTGTTGCATTAACTGTCACATGTTCACATCTTACACACTTCTTATCACCGGACAGTACATTAACTGACAACACATATAACAAACAAATGTGATAGTAAGATTTTTTCACATGTTTTTTTCAGACTCCAGTGATGATGAGGAAGTGCCGATAAGCGATGAAGAGAATCAGATGGACATGGGTGCTGATGGCAGTGCAGATGATGTGGTTGAGGCCAGTGATGACAGCCAAGTTCTGACTGCTGAAAGGAGAAGATCTTCGGTGAAAAAATCTGATTCATCAAGTCAGCAGTGATTGTCAATTTTGACCAGTCTTTGCCATCTGCTCACTCAGTATGTGAACTTCCTGTTACAGATTATCATAGTGTTAGTGGTTTTACCCAGTGTGTGGTTTGTCTATAAGATGGTCCTATTGTTGCCACTTTTTCTTAGTTTGTAAACTTCTTGTTACAGATTATCATAGTGTTAGTGGTTTTACCCAGTGTGTGAAGTTTGTAATAAGATGATCCTTATGTTGCCAGTTTTTCTTAGTTTGTAAACTTCCTGTTACAGATTATCATCATAGTGTTAGTGGTTTTACCCAGTGTGTGAAGTTTGTTGATAAGATGATCCTTATGTTGCCAGTTTTTCTTAGTTTGTAAACTTCATGTAACAGATTATCATAGTGTTAGGGGTTTTACCCAGTGTGTGAAGTTTGTCTATAAGATGATCCTTATGTTGCCAGTTTTTCTTAGTTTGTAAACTTCATGTAACAGATTATCATAGTGTTAGTGGTTTTACCCAGTGTGTGAAGTTTGTCTATAAGATTATCCTTATGTTGCAAGTTTTTCTTAGTTTGTAAACTTCCTGTTACAGATTATCATAGTGTTAGTGGTTTTACCCAGTGTGTGAAGTTTGTCTATAAGATTATCCTAATGTTGCCAGGTTTTGTCAGTTTGTAAACTTCATGTAACAGATAATCTTATAGTATGCCACACAGTGTTATGGGACTATAGATAGAAAAACCAACTGACAGACATACAGACATAATACTTTTAGGTCTACATTGTAAAATTTTCTGAACATCATTTTCACTGAGTATATGATAAAATTATGGAGAAGATGTAAAGAAGTAGTCAGAGCTTTTATAATACAAATGACTAATTTTGCGAAGTCAGCTTTAAACACCTCATTAGTGTCTCCTAATACCAGATCATTAATTACTTTATAAATGATTCCGTGTAAGATAGGACAGTAAATAGGGAAACTCTGGCCATAAAAAGATGACCCTTTATTATCCAGAGGGGCATCAGTTGAAAGACCAGTTGATACTTTGAGTCAACATGATTTCAGCCATCTGTACTTCCCAGAACACTACCTGTTACCCATTTTAGCCTGGGTCAACCTAGGAGCCCAGCTCAGTTTGGGAAGAAAAAAAAGCCTTATTATGGATTTAAACCTTAGATCTTTGGGCAGACAGATGAGAGTCTAGCTACAATGCTGCAGTGGTTCCTTACACATAGTCTTTGATTTTAATAAAAGCCTGTTGTTGGGGTGGGCAGGGCGGGGCTGTTCGTGACTTTCCAAACTATATCTTCAGCTGGCCTGATCAACAGATTGACATGTATTTATAGATAAAAGAAGTAGAGATAGGAGGACATACATCCCTCATCAAATGCTGATTGTTCTGTAAAGATACAGGTCTAACACTGTATGCCTGATGTGCCTAAATCATGAAATGTTAATTTTTTTTTTTTTCAACCTACTTTAGTCTTTGTGAATACTGTTTATTTTTATGCAGTATCTTGGAAGTGACTTAGAAGATGTCAGGGGTCGCACAATCTTTGAAGAGTCATCTATCGTGACTTTACCGCTGCTACTTCTTCCTGGGGTTGTGCTGGTTCCTGGCCAGGTAATCCCCCTTCAGTTGTACACCCAGAGACTGGTGGCTGTGGTTCGGAAAGTAGCAGACAAAGACAGGACATTTGGTGTCATTAATCTCAGGTACATTTGGCTTTATTTTGATATTTTGTGTGAGGTATGTCGGAGCATTGGCAAATGAACAGGCGGACATATTGATTGATTCTGCACCAATAGGTAGTGAATTTATGCATGACAAGCTGGATATAGTCAAGGTCTTTGGGAGCAAGTGAACAGTACGGAGGCATGAATAAATCATTATGGTCTAGAGAGAATGGTATAGGTAGGAATGACAATCTGCACTCAGAGGAAAGGTAAGATGAACATATAATCAAACCGCTACTGGCATTGTCAAAATTAGAACTCTTTGCTCGCTGCAGAAGATGAGGACAGAGTGCTTATGGGAATGTCCCGAATGCTATGATGTCAGTAGTTAGCTTGGCACTCAACTCAGTCTCAGGTACACTAAATAGGAACATGTATCTCACACGTGGAATTGGTTGGGGAATATTTATGATATGCAAATATTTTTCATTATCCAGTTATGACAAAAAATATCTAAAAAAATATATATCACACAGGGCAGCCTCTCGATTCCTCTATTCCTTCCTTTCTGTCCTGAACAGTTTCTGTGATATCATGAATGGAATCCAGACTGGCACTCTGGTCTTTCGAACCACAGTTCTTTGCATAGTTTTTCTTTAAGATCCTTGCTTTCTCAATCCATTTGATTCTTATTTTAATACCTAATTTGTGATTGTTTCCTTTGGTAGGCATTCACAGTATAGTGAGTAAGATAGCCAGACAGAAGCAGCAACTTAAACAGTGACCTAATGGTAGATAGGTAAATACATATTGGGGTACTCTAAATACATGTACAGTTTTTTAAAAGAATGAATGGGGAATCAGGGATTTATTCTTGGTGGCTTGATATTTGAAATATAACTTATCAGGTCATACTGATTTCAAGTTGATGCTGATGATTCCTGTGGGCTCTTGGGTAGGTTTCACATCTGATTGATAAACCTAGATTTTGTATCCGACTGAGGGAGAAAGATAATCCTCATGCTTAAAGTCTTTTATGCGCATTGTTTCTTGTATAATATCCTTTTCTACCACTGAAGATCTACTTCCTAGGGTGGCATTTTCTACAAAGGCATTCAAGCTTTCATTGCCCTTATGTCGTTGTGTCCTAAGACAAAGCTGAAGGTGAAGATATGTAGCACTGCTATTTGTAATATAGTGATATCATGGAGCAGATACAGAGCCACAGCAGACAGTAACTGCTTTAATCGTTGTAGACCTTCTGTTCATAATAATGATAAAAGTAGAGACAAAGTTCAGCCTAATGGCCTCACATGCCATGAAACACTGAATGTAGTGAGATATTTTAACGATACCAGCTTTTCTACAAAAAAATCATATTTTACAAATCACTGACAGTATCTGTTTTCTGATTTTGGTATGAAAGTTAAGTTGCCACTGTTTTAGAGCAAATACTCCTGGCTTTCAAAGTGGCAGGTCCTTTGCAACACTTGCTCTCAGTTCTGATTGAAAATAAAAATATATACTTTAATAAACAGATCTTATGTAACACACTCTAAAGATAACATTTGAAGGCACTTGCCACGGTTTCGTTTAAGGAAACACATGTTTTGGAATATACAACCTCTAGGAAAACTTCTTACATTTTTCCTCATTGCTGTGTATTTGTCTAACATCACCTGTGCAATTGTTCCATCAGTTGCTTTGAAGGTTTCTGCTTGCTGGGGCCTTCTCAAGATTATTTTGCAGATATTATTGTTATTAATGATACACGAAAGTGGGTAACAATAACTTCCATATGCTATCATTATTAATGATACACGAAAGTGGGTAACAATAACTTCCATATGCTATCATTATTAATGATACAGGAAAGTGGGTAACAATAACTTCCAGATGCTATCATTATTAATGATACACGAAAGTGGGTAACAATAACTTCCATATGCTATCATTATTAATGATACACGAAAGTGGGTAACAATAACTTCCATATGCTATCATTATTAATGATACACGAAAGTGGGTAACAATAACTTCCATATGCTATCATTCCACAGTAAAAATTATGATGAAGAAGGAAGACAGCACATATCTTCTGTAGGTTGTACTGCAGAAATTTTCTCTATGAAGGATGAGATGGATGAACCATCAGGGATCTCTACAGTTCGAGTCAAAGCCAGAGGTCGTCAGAGGTTCAAAGTTGTTGAAATGAAATCAGAAATTACAGGGTAATTCTTAGTATTCTTTTTCTTTCTCTTCCTGGTCTTGCTTCTCTCCATCTTCTTACTCAACCCTTTATATCCAAATATAGCATAGGCCACCAGTCAGCTTGTAGGTCACCAGTCAACTTGTAGGCCACCATTCAACTTGTAGGCCACCAGTCAGCTTGTAGGTCACCAATCACCTTGTAGGCCACCAGTCAGCTTGTAGGCCACCAGTCAACTTGTAGGTCACCAGTCAACTTGTAGGCCACCAGTAAACTTGTAGGTCACCAGTCAACTTGTAGGCCACCAGGCAGCTTGTAGGTCACCAATCACATTGTAGGCCACCAGTCAACTTGTAGGCCACCAGTAAACTTGTAGGTCACCAGTCAACTTGTAGGCCACCAGTCAACTTGTAGGTCACCAGTCAACTTGTAGGCCCCCAGTCAGCTTGTAGGTCACCAATCACCTTGTAGGCCACCAGTCAACTTGTAGGCCACCAGTCAACTTGTAGGTCACCAGTCAACTTGTAGGCCACCAGTAAACTTGTAGGTCACCAGTCAACTTGTAGGCCACCAGTCAGCTTGTAGGTCACCAATCACCTTGTAGGCCACCAGTCAGCTTGTAGGTCACCAATCACCTTGTAGGCCACCAGTCAACTTGTAGGCCACCAGTCAACTTGTAGGCCACCAGTCAACTTGTAGGTCACCAGTCAACTTGTAGGCCACCAGTAAACTTGTAGGTCACCAGTCAGCTTGTAGGTCACCAATCACCTTGTAGGCCACCAGTCAACTTGTAGGCCACCAGTAAACTTGTAGGTTACCAGTCAACTTGTAGGCCACCAGTCAGCTTGTAGGTCACCAATCACCTTGTAGGCCACCAGTCAACTTGTAGGCCACCAGTCAACTTGTAGGTCACCAGTCAACTTGAAAGTCAACAGTCAACTTGTAGGTCACCAGTGAACTTGCATCAGATTGACCTGTCCTTTGCCATGACTTTGCTATCTTTTTCCCAGAATGTATGTTTTGTGTTACTCTTTGTTTCTTTGGGTCTGTGGGTTCCATTCCAAGAACATACCATGTGTATTGTCATTGTGTGTTGTATCTAACATCAATAGCTTCTCCCCTCTTGTTTCAGTGCAAGTTCTTTACCAAAGTTTGACATGAATGTTTTTGTCATACCATTTAATTCTCTCAAATTTGTGCAGTCGCCATTTACAAATGCATGTGATTAGTAACATTTTATTTTCAATGCGTAGGATCTTTAATAAATATATTTTATAATCAGATATGTGATTTACGACAGTTGTGGATGTTTTAAAGCAAGAGGTTCTTAAGGGTGAATACCCAGTTTGGGTCAGGGGATAGATTTTTGTTGTTGTTGAGATAGTAACGTGTAGTGAATACTAAAACTGATTTTAAATATTTGTTTAATTACATGTGGCCACGTCATATCAATATTGGCTTGTTAATCACTCAGTCAGCATGTCCTTTACAGAACGTCGCTGTCTTCACAGCTCGCCTAAAAGTCTCTCTTTCTCTAGCCACTTCTCTGGCCTTATGTGCTTTCATAACCAATGCATCTTTAGTGTCCTGTATTCACCTTCGAGGAGGTTGGCCTCTGCCTCATTTTCCAGAAACCACAATCTTTTCCAAAAACCACCCTCTTTTCCAGAAACCACCTTCTTGTCAGAAACCACCCTCTTGTCCAGAAACCACCCTCTTTTCCAGAAACCACCCTCCATCACCGTTCTCTCCGGACCACTATGTCCAAAATTCCTCAGCTTTTGAGAGAGGATGCTGTTTATGAGCCAGTTCTCCTTAATGTTCACCTCATGCAGGATGTCAGCATTTTTCTTCTTCTTGGTCCATGGTATTCTACAAATTTTTCTGCAGCGTTTAAGTTCAGCAGCTTAAATTTTCTTCTGTAAAGACAGAATGAGAGTCCATCACATCCATATTTCATTAATAACTGATACAAAAAACTATTTCATGACTGATGGCCTGTTAATTTATTTTGACGCAGGGATCTCACAGGCACAGTGAAAATATTACCTGAAGTCTCTCTGGTTCATGTCCTAGAGGGAGCCCGACTACCATCCCATCGCAAGCTGATGGTTTCCCCACCCGATGATGCTGAAGATATGATCAAAACAGCAGTCGACAGGCAAGGCCGTGTTCTCACATCTGTCGACTTGAGGTGCCCGAACCTCATCACCAAGATGTACACCGCCAACTGTACCTGGTGGCCACCTTGGGTGTATAAGATGTATGACATTGTAAGTTGAAAAGTTGTAATTTTGTTGTTGTTTTTGTTGAGTACTTGGTATATGAGTATAATCAGTTTCAGATGAAATGAATTGGTGTTTTCTCTCACAGATCCAGTGCTTCTGTGTTGAGTAAGCAAAGGACACTTTTCATTCCAGTGGCATATCAAGCATACTGTGTATAATGCAACAGTCTTTTTGTTTTCTTTTTTGTTTGTTTGTTGTTGTTGTAGACCAGTTGGCACTGGATGGGTGATGTGGTCAGCATCAGGCCAGCTGCCTATACTTCCCAGGACATTACCCGGTACTCTTTTTGTCAAACTGGGAGCCAAAGGCATTTTTGTGTGGACAAAACCCAGCTTAATACAGATTTGAACTCAATACCTTTCAGCCTGCAGTCAAGTGCTTAGCTGGCCTACCACCATGGCTCTCATCTGTCCTGGTGACTCATGCATAATCAAGTGAAAATTAATTAATTAAATGATGGCTGTATGAGAGAATCATTTGCTGAAGACCTCAGACAAGAGGATGCTGATTTCTCCCTGACTGGTATGTAGAGTGTGGGTATATCAATCAGAGCAGCCCAACATGGCAACCATTCCCAAGAGCTCACTACATTAGACAGTACCGAACAAGAGTTGTTGGTATAAACAAACTAAGGAACATGCTTTGGAGAAGACTGGAGCATTAATATGTATACCCAAAAGCCAGTGAAGATGTTCCTTTAACGAACAATTGAATGATTATGGGGAGCAGGGAGCAGTGGTGATTTAGTGACTTGAATATTCCTTGATCACCCAAAGATCTTGAGTTCAAATCCCCATTTGGCAAAAAATTTTTAATATTAGACCTGGTAAACCCAGCTTATAATGTTATGGATACAGGAAATGTCTTGAAAAGAAAAGTTGACCAGTGTAATGTTGGGTGTGGCATCATATGCCCAGTGCATCATTGGCACAAAAGGCATCCTTTTTGTTTTGTGTGGAAGCTGCAGAGATGTCATTCTATAGATAAGAGTAAATCAGAAACAGATTGGAAAACAAACACTGCTTATCATCATCATCATAAACCACTTTTGCCTTTAAGCGTCATGGGAAGGAATAATTTGCGATCCAGTGCACTTTAGCTGACACTGGCTATTGTCATGCCGTGAAGGCGTAGAGTGTCTTTAATGTTGTCGTTCCATTTTTTCCGCGGCTGTCCTCTTGCTCTTGTAGCTGATCTTCTGAGATGTAGTGCTTGTGATGGTATTTGATCTTGCTGCATTCTAACACTGGTTATAACCATGAAAAAAGATTTCCTTAATCCTTTGAATAGAACATACCAAGTCACCATTTTTGGCCTACCCACCGGACATTTCAAGCCCAGCAAACACTCCTATAAGTTTGACTTGCACGACACAGCTCTATCTTTCTGTCAGTGTCTTCATGTTGATCAGCCTGCAGAACATGTTTTATAGAACTGTCCTCTCCTGGAGGAACTGTGAAACAGCATGTGGCCACACCCTGTAGACCTAACACCTAACAACAAAGCTTTGGGAAACCTAAGAGACCTTGAGATGATTTCCCAGTGTTTGGCCCATAGTGGATTAAGCATATGACCAGTGATCGCTGAAGAAGCAAAAAGGTTTTATAGATGGGAGATGAGAAATGTAAATACCAACTGACGCCATTATTAAGACATCCAAACATAAGAGTGACAGCCAAGAAACAAATTATAACAGCATATTTATACCAACTCTGTGCCGTCAGTGCCAGACTTGGACATTGTTAATGGCTAACCTCTGTAACATTACCACCTATGGAATGAGATGCCTGAGGAAAGCCACCAACTTAACCATGCGAGACAAAGTGAGACATGAAACTTTTAGACAAACTGTGAGAATAACATTATGCAGCAAATTCATTTAGAAAAACAGATTAGATGGTTTGACCATCTTGTCAGAATGCAGCCACAACAGCAGCTACTAACATAGACACTACACATAAAAAATCTGATGTGAAATCATGAGGTGGCCCTTGGAGATGATGGACTGATGACATTAAAGACCTGCATCCAAACAAATTGACAGTAGCCATTGCTACCGATCAAGCAGTGAATCCCAAACTGTTCCTTCCCACAACAGAAAAGGGGACATTGATGATGATGATGATGATGATGACGAGAAAGCATAGCACTTTACACCCAAGCCATAAATACTGGAGAATTCCCTTTATCATTATTATCTTCGCACCTTTTGCATCTATACATGTTTATTGAAAAGTTAAAGTCCGGAGAATCAACTTCTTTGCCCTGGGTTACTCTGTATGGCTTGGTCCTTCTCTAAAAAATGGCTTGCTACCCACTGAGATTGTCACATATAGTACAAACTCTATAGCTCCACTGATGATCCTTAGGGATCTCCATGAAAGCCACGTTCTTGAACTGAATGTGTCCGCGGAACAAACCCCACAACCTTCAGAGCATGAGGCAGATAGCTCAGCCACTTCACCACAGCGACTCCCATCACATATTTATTATTACTTGATCCTGTATGCATTTGTTATGCTTATCTTTGTGTGTGTATGTGTGTTTTTTTTTGTCAATTGTATCCTTTTGTTGTGCTTGTTACTTTTGTTTAGTCTTTTTTGTTATGATAATTGACAATAAATATTTTTTTCAAACTTGTTACTTTTGTTTTTTCTACCAGGACTGGTTGGTTGAGCAGATTAAAACAGAACTTCACAGTTGGTGTCCAGCATCTTTACCCCCTGACCCTGTTGACCTGTCATTCTGGGTCGCCCATAACCTTCCAGTTAACGATGAGATGAGGTTGAGGCTGCTAACTTTTGACTCTGTGGTCCAGCGACTGAGGTTTGGACTCAACATAATTCGGAAGGTATGAACTTCTATGTATATACATTGTACATACAAATTATTATAGGCTCAGATTACTATACCCACAAACACTTTTCATCTTCCACCTAGCGGCACCATCATCTTCTTCTTTCGTTCGCCCCCAAACGAGTAGTCCATATCATCAGTTTTGTCTCTTGTATAAATTTCACTGTTTTTTTGGGGGGGTTAAATTCTTCTGCCTTTCTAGCTCCCAATAGAGCATAGGCCCTCAACCAACTCACGCCAAGTCGTTCTACCCTTTGCTATCGCATGCAGCTCTCCCCATGTCTTCCCCATCTTTCTAACTTCATTCCAATGCAAAGACATTCTAGTTATGCTGTTCTCCATTTTTCTTTCGTGCAGACTTGGAGTATGTGTTCTGCTGTCTGGGGAACTTTCCACAGGAGTACACGGCCAGTGCACCAGTCTTAAATTTCATGTACATGTGGCTGTTGTGCCCTGTTCTGAAGTGCTGCAGGAGAATGACTTGTTCTGATCTGTCCATGATAAAATGTGTACTGGGTCTGGTGGTTTTCTGATTCATTTAATGATCCTGTTCTTTTGATGGTATGTGACTGGGTCATACAGCTGCTCTTTTGTGGCCCCTTCCCTTGCCACCTTCAACCTGGCATATCACATCTCTGGACCACTTCCTGTCTACTTGTCTGTGCCTTTGATGACTAGTGAGGATATGCTTCTGGAGGTTCTTGTTCTTCAGGATAGATGGACATTTTGACTGTCAAGCTAAGTTGTTTTATGTATTCCTAAATGTAGCTGTATCATTTTCCATGTGTATCGTATGATGATAGCCACAACAAGTTTTATTTTTATTCTTGGCTGTGTTTTATTGGAAATCTTTTCTAGTTCTACTTCTTATTTAGACTTGAAAAGATACACAATTTCATTTAAAAGTTGTACAAAAGTGGTCTTTTGTTGTGTGAGGTCTTTGGGTTCATTTTTGGGGTGGGGAAAAGAATAAAATAGACCTGTCACTCCTAAATGTATCACAAAGGGTAACTAATTAAAGGTTTGCTAAAGTCTGATGTTTTAGTTTAGGTCGAAAGGTGCAGCCTAGCTGTGAATCACAACATGAAGCACCAACCACCTTTAAAGGGTGAGCAACAACAACAACAAAGAAGAAGAAAAAAGGAGCTCTTCAGCTCATTCAGTGCCAAGTAACTCACTCTGAATTGCTTTGTTTCCTGTTATATTGTACGCTTGTCCTAATTTCTCATCTTATTTGGTTTTAGTCCTAACATTTCATCTTATCTGCCTGTTACATTATTACCCTTCAGTTCCGTTTGTTACATTAACTTGTTCTTTCAATTCATATGTTACATAAACTCCTTTAGGTGCAACTGTTATTAGTTTCCAGTAACAACCATTTGGAATAGAAAAAAATTGTGCAAAACAGTCTGGTACTAAAAAAGTAAATTTTTCTTTTAAAAAAATGTTCACCAAAAGTGCAGCTTTCTGACTTAGAGGTAAGCAAACATATTAAGCAATCCTTGTTGTAGGTGAGTTTGATTTCCATGGCGGATAATTGAGAAAAAGACCATTCTCGTGACTTATGGACAGTGTTCTCATCAGGCTGTAAAAAGGCAGGGTCCTCATCATGTACTGTTCCCAAGACAGCAGTACGGTGTTTCCCAGGAAATTAAGACCTGCCATAAAAAAATAAACACAAGCATGATTTTCAGGATGCTTTCAATATTAGCCCTACCCAAAATATACCCTAGTTAAGATATTTAAAATGGAATTACGAGAAATCATCCTGAAAACTTTGTGAAGTCTAGTAGGAGGTCTGACTTTGCGTTCATGGGATAAATTGATTGACAGCTGTGTTACGATTTCACTATGAGAGGCTGCGTGTGCAAGAAATGCTCATTTTAGGAAGTTTATTGCTGGAGATGAGAGACAGGCCAGAGGTTCTACAAGAAAAGTCTTGCAAGAAATTCAGGCCGAAATTTGAGATTTGCAAAGTTCTGATGATTTTCTAGAAGAATATAACATTACCATATAAATAAAAGTAGAAAATAGTACATTAATAAATGTAGATGTTCTTTTTATTTATTTAAGAAAAATTAAGACATTTCCTAAAAATAAGCCCTGATGCATTTTGATTAAGCAAAACTTAATACTAGACTGGGTCTTATTTATGGTGGAAACATGGTGGATACATTGCAGCCAAACTCTGTAATGTGGAAGGTACAAAATGTTATCTCATCCCAATAATAATTTGTTAATTTGAATGTAAATCCCACAGAGTGGTGTCCTCTTGTGCTGCGATTCTTGCCAGGAAGAAATTGCCAGCAAAAAGGATGTCTTCAGCATGTCACAGGAAGGTCCCCTTGGAGCTTATGTAAACCCAGGGGGTTATGTGCACGAAATGTTTACCGTACTTGGCGTGAGGAATTTACAGAATATTGGATTCGCATCCACGGAACATAGTTGGTTTCCTGGGTAATTATAATTTTTTTTTTAAATCTTATTTCATTTTTCAGCTTTGTTAATTAGCATCTGTAATAGAGACTGACTTGTGAACTTAATTTTGAAGAGCCTGATTTTGAAGAAGTACTGTATGTCATAACATGACTTAAAAACAATAAAGCAACTGGTGCTGATGGAATTGCTACCGAACTTATAAAAGAAGGTGGTCATGCATTACATGTAAAGATATATGAATTAATAAAACTAGTTTAGAAGATGGAGAAATTACCCTGTGAGGGGAAAATGTCATTATTAATACCCATTTTTAAGAAAGGAGACTAGTATAAATGTGAAAACTATAGAGGAATATCACTATTATCTACAAGTTATAAAATACTTTCGACGGTACTGCTAAACAGACTTAACCCATATGTTGAAGACATATTGGGAGATTACCAAGCGGGCTTCCGACAGAACAGATCAACAATAGATTTGATGTTCATTTCACGGCAAATAGCAGAGCAAAATTGAGAATATGGAAGAGATATACATAATATTTTTGTGGATTTTAAAAAGGTGTATAATAGTGTATGTAGAAACAGTTTATGGAATGCTATGAGTGACTTTGGAATACCAAAGAAGTTAATTACTAAGAAAACTAAAAGAATACTTGTTTATGCACATGACATTGATATTGTTGGAGAAAATAAACTAGAGACTAAAAACATTGACTCTCTTAAAAGAAGCAGCTCACAAAATCAAGATAAGACAGAATACCTGATAATAATAAGACAGGGAAAGGATATAAACTCTCTCCACATACAAGTTGATAACATGAAAATCAAACGAACGGAAACATATAAGTACTTAGGTGCAAACTTCAACTGCTCCAACATGCTGAGAGAAGAAAACAATCTAGAATACAATCTGCAAATGAAGTATACTATGCCCTTCAACATCTGCTAAAGTCAAAGTCTCTATCTCGCAACACCAAGATCAAAATATATAAAGCGTTGATAAGACCATTTGTTTTATATGGCTCTGAAGCTTGGAGCACAACTGAAAGAGATGAAGCCTTATTACAGGTTTTCAAAAACAGAATCTTTGGACCCATCAAAGATGCAAACAGCGGGGAATGGAGAGTGAGAAGTAGTAATGAATTTCATAATCTGTTAAATCACCATTGATAACTGGCATCATGAGAGCTAATAGACTGAAATGGCTGAGGCATATTGAAAGAATGTCAGATGACAGAGAAGTAAAAACTGTATACACAAGGGAGATGAATGGTCGTAGACCATGAGGCAGACCTAGAAGACGATGGAGAGATAATGTCCAGACAGACCTGCAAACACTTGGTGTTTACAATTGGAAAAGAAGGCCAACCAGAGAGATGAGTGGACGCCGATAATATCTGCAGCAATGAACCTCAAGGGCTCGGAATGCTGAAGAAGAAGAAAAAAAGAGACTGTATTGTATTGTCTCAATATTTTACACATAATAAATCTTGTCTTTTTTTTTTTAAATCTTACATATAATTTATTGTATTCATGTTAAGCCTTTAGTGTTATCTTACACATAACATACTGTTTTTGATGATCTTACACATAATATACTGTCTTGATGATGTCTTCTACATAATGTATTGTCTTGATGATATCTCACACATAATTTACCATCTTTATGATATCTTACACATAATGTACTGTCTTGGTGATATTTTACATATTATTTATTGTGTTCATGTTAGGCCTAGTGTTATCTTACACATAACATACTGTCTTGATGATATCTTACACATAATGTATTGTCTTGATGATATCTTACACATAATGTACTGTCTTGATGATACCTTACAAATAATTTACTGTCTTGGTGATTTTACATATAGTTTATTGTATTCATGTTATGCATTAGTGTTATTTCACACATAACATACTGTCTTAATAATATCTTACACATAATGTACTGTCTTGAATTTATTTCTTTACATTCTTACTTGTGTTGCACTGATTACATGATGTTTTGTTTTACATTCTGTGGTTAGTGTCCATCCTTCACAGTTCTTAAATTGTCTGGAGTGCCTGTTGTATTGTGTAGTTTATTCTGTACTGTGTCAGTTTGACAAGCATAAGATTACTATCTAATCTGGGGGCTTAAAAGAAGTGGGGAAGTCAGTCCAAGTTGCACCTAGGAATATTTACGAATTATGTAATGTCACAATTTGAGTCGATTCACCCCTGAAGATGCTTTGGAGCTGCAGGATACTGCCTAGACCATTGCAAGGCAACATCTCAATAAGTAAACTACTTCAATGTGTCTTTTTGGTTCATTAGGGAAACCCTAATAAAGACACGTGACACCAGCGTTATGTGACATCATGTTAGGCCTTAGTGTTATTTTATATATAACAAACTGTCTTGATGATATCTTACACGTAATGTACTGTCTTGATGATATCTTACACATAATGTACTGTCTTGATGTTAACTTATGTCTAAAAGATATCCAACACATATCTGTTGCAGGTATGCATGGACAATAGTCCAGTGCAAAGGCTGCCACTCACACATGGGCTGGATGTTCACAGCTACAAAAAAGAATCTTTCACCCAAAAAGTTCTGGGGCCTCTGTCGATCTGCAATCAAGACCAGTTTCGGTAAAGTTGAAGAGGAAGATGAGAAGGAGAAAATTGGCTTTGTCATGTGAACAGGGATTCTGTGTTCTGTTCAGAGCATAGGGATTAATGGATTCAACGTCCGAGGAATATTTCAGAGCTATCATTTGACATCTGCTATTAAACCTTTATGTGGCCATGCCAAAGATGTTAGTTGGTGTATAAGTAAAAATGACTTTCTACTGCTATAGTGGCATAGAATAAATATTAAGGTAACTTCATATTGTCTTGCATGCAAAAATAAAACATACTAGCCACACTTGATGTATAGTGCTTGAGGTGTAGTTATACTGTCTTGTCAGAAAATTGCCTACAGCCGTCAGTGAGTTTGATGGTTGGTTTACATGTAACAGCTATCAGTATGTTATAAGTAGGCTGTTCCTATCTTGTCTTGATAACATTACGGGGACGGTCAGCATTCACATTCTTTGGCTTTTGCTGGGAGAGGCTGAGCACTTATTGGCTTGCCTGAAATTTGTGTCCAGCTTCATAATCATCATCATAACATTTCATTTTCATATTCCTGTCATTAGGATTGTATAATATAATAATTCTGCTTCTGCCTTAGCCTCCTCCTCTTCTTCTTCTTATTCTTCTTCTTCTTCTTCTTTTTCTGCTTCTTCTTCTTCTTCTTCTTTTTCTTCTTCTTCTTTTTCTGCTTCTTCTTCTTCTTCTTCTTCTTCTGCTTCTTCTTCTTCTGCTGCTGCCTTCCAGCTCCCAATAAAGCATTGATCGTTCACCACTCATATCACTCTCCACCCCTTTTTGTAAACCTTTTCATGGTTGGGTTAATTATGCAGCAAATATTGTTTATGGGATGAGGTAGTCAGTCTCACCACACCCTCCTCTGCGGCCTGTTATAACATCATCATCACCATTTGCAGTGATGATAAGTGTACGCTGTCATGTTTCTCCACCTCACATGATCTCCAGAGTCACAGACCAAGTCAGTGTTCTTTTCTCCCCATCCATTTGGCAAAGTCATTCATGTATTTGCTCTTTACCTTCCCTTGCTCCCTGTCGATCAATCTCGCCAGTTTTTAATATGCTCCTGAGCCCATTCTTTCCCAAAACATGTCTGAAAACCACCAACTGTCTATGACTAATTTTTCTTATCAGTTTACGACTTTCATCTGTCTGGAGGACTGCCTCTTGTGGCAGTCATGGTAGATTTACAAAGGTTTTTGCGCGATTACCCTAGTATACATGGGTGTTATTCAAGAGTGCATGTCATTGGTGGCTTTCTACTGTCTACTGCAAGAATAAAGAATCATATATGAAAATGAGAGCTAGTGTTCAGTTTTGCTAGCACATTGTCCAGTTATATCAGAAATGCTAACATTTGTGACACACATAGCCCAGTTACATCAGAAACATTGACATTTATGACATGATGTCGAATGCATCAGACATAAATTGTCAAATATATCAGGTACATTAACATTTTTAACACTATCACTATCTGAGTATGCCAGAAATATGCATGTAAAACGTAAAAGGCCCAAAGGTCTTGTGTTCAAATCCACATCAAGATGGATATTTTTCAGAATTAATCTTGATTCCCAGGTTGATCCAGCCTAAAACGGGTACCAGGTAAAGTCCTGGGAAATAAAGGTGGTCAGCATGAGGTTGACCACATCACCCTTTGAGGGCCGACTGATCTTTAAAAATATCATATGTTTTGAAGTATCACTGGTCTTTAAAGCTCGTTTATTTTATATTTTTACCGATAAGAGCAGGATCATGGCTTGATAGATGGTCTTTCATGTACTTCGGTAAAGTTAAGTCAAATGTAATGCAACTGGCTGGCTATGTTTGAAATGTGACATTAGTTCAAAAAGGCAAAAAACTGAATACACAAGGGAAAAGACCATGAGGTAGAACATAAAAACGATGGAAAGATAATATCCAGCAAACCTACTAGCACCTGGTGACGCCAGCTGGAAAGAGAGGACAAACCTCAGAAATGGATGGAGGCAGGTGGATGTTAAGTGCTCTAAACACTGAAGAAGAATTCATTTACTAGTTGTCATGTAACATGTTGGGAGCAAAATGAAACATTCTAATCTGCATAGTCCATGGTGCTAGCACTAGCCATGTGGTTCTAAATTCTCAGGTTCATGACAACCACCCCCCCCCTCCCTCTCCCCCCAGTTTTAATCTTTGTCATCATTAGAATATAAAATACATGACTTTCTGTAAAGAGCTGATAAACTAGCTAAGGAAAGTGCAAATGAAGAACAACCTGACATATCAGTCTATTATCAGCAAAAGAAGAAAATAATCAAGTCAGCCAGAAAACCACCAAAACCGGCACAAGACGCAAAATTCAAAACCGGCGAATCAGCCATGTGCACATGTGGACTGGCAACTGAGACAACAGATCATGTCCTCCAAGACTGTCCCAGATAAAACACATAAAGGCAAACATTTTTTTTCAAGAAAAACGCCGATGGAAACCAAACTTTACGGGTTGCTGAGTGAATTACAAAAGACAGTGAAGTTCATACTAGAGACATTTCAGATATAGAGAATTTATTTCAAGCAAACAAAAGAAGAAGAAGATGTTTTCTTTATTCTGTTTTTGAACTTAAGTTCAAGCCAAGTGTGTGGCTCTGAAGCTTAGAGATTACTGAAAGTGTTTCACAATTTCATGATTCTCAACTTAGCAGTAGACTGCTTAATAAACTCCCGCTCTCTTGGTATTCAGTCAGTGGTAAGAGAGTCACACCATGGAAGTGATGGACCTCAGCATGTAATATTTCCTGTGATAGCAGTGGTTGCACTGTAGCCAACATTCATTGTGGAAATAGCCAGGGCTCTTTTCTGGTTGTGTCCAGTACAACTGTAGTAAAAGTTTGCATTGAGTATCAGCACCTTTTTTCCCCCCACACAATTTGTGGTGAGCTGGTCACTAAATCCAGACAACTGTCTTGGCAAGCAATAATTTTCAGTCCTATACCTTTATATTGTAAACTCTTACCAATCCCTTCATAAATGATTATACAGAGTCTGTGTTTTCAAGTGGTTGTTTTTAAGTTTTGTTCACTGTTTTTTATTTTGTTATTCCATCTTACTTATGCATGCAAGCTTTGTAAATAGCTTTCAGGTTACTTCAGAGATAAGTATCCTTTTAATTTTTATTTTTTTTTTATTTTTCTATTCTAAGGCATTCATGAATTGTATATTGGTTTAAAAATCGTCTTTCAACAAATCTAGTTCATTTGTTCATGCTTATGGTAATACTGTCAACATAAAGTTGTATGTTGGATCAAAGTCACACAGAGTTAACTACAACAAATCTGAAACAATTGTTCTTGCCTGACTTGGAAGTACTGTTAGCATAAAGTTGTATGTTGGATCAGAGTCGCATAGAGTTAACAACAACATATGTCAAAAAGCATAGTCAAATTTCATTTGTTTTGTGTGCACCTGTGCACAGTCCAAAAAGGCGCAGATATAAATCAAAAGCTTAAAAAAACATGGGGAGGGGGTGCATTGGCGACCATGTCACCCATTGGCTGGCCAGTAGACGACTTTGTTGCTGGTCAGGACAGTATTTGGGTCTGTCTACTCTGATGGCATCAACACTGCAGGAGTCCTTTTCAGGGCCCTTGGCGGGGTGCAGTGCTAAGCTATTTTATAAGGTGCATATAATTTAGTTGCACCTTTCACTCAAAGCTCACCCTTTAGGGATGCTGGTTGAACGTAATGATTCTTATTTATTTTTCTAGCAAGGCACCTACCTACCTAGCAAACTTATCGGAAAGGGGGGGGGGGGGGGGGTTGTCCTTATGACCCCAAAGGCTTTTTAAAAGTCAAGTTGACTTAACAATTTTCCCATAAACATCATTGATAAAGGTCATGGGGTCATGGTTTGAGTCACCCAATACATATATTTATTTAGGCCCCAAGGAATGTGTCATAAATTTGTTTTATTTTTTAAAATGAAATTTTCCCTGGGATTTCAAAGGGTTCATGACCCCTTTTTTGAAAGCATTCATGGATCAACAGAAAAGGTTAAGAGGGATTCATACACATAGACAAGGGGCTGGCAGACAAATGTGCTAGTAAGTGCGATATGGTGGCTCCCTACCTGTGTATATGTTCTCTTCTATGTGTATGTGGCTTTTTATTCAGTTTATCTTCCTAGTAATGAATTCTTTACTGACACGTACATGTCTTTGTTATGTAATTTGTCAAATAAATTATTAACAAAATACATAGTGTCTGATACATATAAATAAAAGTAACTGTGGGAATGCCATAGTATTATCAAATGTATATTGAGGATTGTGTCTTGCTTCATTGAAATATATCATGTTACATTTAATTGTTTGTTTTCCCCGTGTGGGTTTTAAGAACCTTTGGGGGTGGGGGAGGGAATAGACCCACTGCTTCCCTGTCAAGCATTTCACAAAGGATGACTAGTTGGGGTGTTTCTTTTCAAAGTTGGAGGGCATCTGCTGAGAGGTAAGGAACCAACAGTCTGCCTACTAATAAGCCAGATCTGTAACATGGATTTTAACAGCTCATAAACAGCATTCTCTCCCAAAAGCTGAGGTATTATAGCTATGTTAGGCATCATAGTGGCCAGGAGAGAATGGTGATGGAGGGTGCATTTCCAGAAAGCCAGCTAGAGGCAGTCTTCATTCAGGATGCACTGGCTATGAAAATAAAAGGACATTAGGCACAGAACTGGCTAGAGAGCCAGAGACTTTCAAGCCTGCAATGATGAGAGCCTTGTTCTCTAGAGGACCCGTTGACTGATGATGATGTAGCAGTTGCGTATTCTGTACAATTTCTTAGTGCTGAGATATACTGAATGTTGACAGTTCTGCAAGTAGTTTGTTTGTTTACTTATCACGAAGAAGGTTTGGCAACCCTTGCATCATAGGTAGAGAGTGGGACAGAAAGAAGAAAGTACAAAATCTCCATTTCCAGATTTTGTTTGAACAAATTGTCCAAAACTGAACTCACGCGTAACATAGTTTTTAGGGATAATTTTCCATGACGAAACCTTTGTCTGACA